CCATTTAAGCCGTCTCCAGCCATTATTAATCTCAAAGTGGGTTCCTCGTCATCGAACTTATGTTAGGAGAGTACATAATGCAACAAGAACATCAACTTATGTTAGGAGAGTACGTAATGCAACATGAACACTAATTTATGTTAAGAGAGTGCGTAATGCAACATGAACATTAATTTATGTTAAGAGAGTACGTAATGTAACATGAACATTAACTTATGTTAGTAGCGTACGTAATGTAACATGAACATTAATTTATGTTAAGAGAGTACGTAATGCAACAGGAACATTAACTTATGTTAGGAGAGTACGTAATGCAACATGAACATTAACTTATGTTAGTAGCGTACGTAATGTAACATGAACATTAATTTATGTTAAGAGAGTACGTAATGCAACAGGAACATTAACTTATGTTAGGAGAGTACGTAATGTAACATGAACATTAACTTATGTTAGGAGAGTACGTAATGCAACAGGAACATTAATTTATGTTAAGAGAGAAAGTAATGCAACATGAACATTAACTTATGTTAGGAGAGTACGTAATGCAACAGGAACATTAACTTATGTTAGGAGAATACGTAATGTAACATGAACATCAACTTATACTAGGAGAGTACGTGATACACATGATCATTAACTTATGCTGAGAAATATGGTCAAATGCTTGTTACTGAACGTTTTTCTTTCCCATGTTGCAACTTGAATATTACTTTGGTAAGATATAATTCTCTGCGAACAACTTAGTTTTCTTTGGGTTTTTTTTTAAACCGCCCTCGAAACGCGGACACAATGACTCATGAAATCACTGTGTCTGTTACAGGAAATCACAATGAGGTGGTTTCCTGTTGACTTCCGCAACGGATTTAGCCAGGTCAACAAACAAGGTGAGTGTATTATCGTAGCTAGGGGCACGAACTACGAACCAAGTACATCCAAGGCCACGCAGGGCCTAACAACCGAACAATCTGAAAATAAATCAATAACACCAGGTTCCTCTCCAGCTGATCACTGCTCAATCTGAAAATGTATCAATAACACAATATTCCTCTCCAGCCGATCACTGCTCAATCTGAAATTGTATCAATAACACCAGATTCCTCTCCAGCTGATCACTGCTCAATCTGAAAATGTATCAATAACACCAGGTTCCTCTCCAGTTGATCACCGCTCAATCTGAAAACGTATCAATAACACCAGATTCCTCTCCAGCTGATCACTGCTCAATCTGAAAATGTATCAATGAAACCAGATTCCTCTCCAGCTGATCACTGTTCAATCTGAAAATGTATCAATAACTCCAGGTTCCTCTCCAGCTGATCACTTCTCAATCTAAAAATGTATCAATGACACTAGATTCCTCTCCAGCTGATCACTGTTCAATCTGAAAATGTATCAATAACATCAGGTTCCTCTCCAGCTGATCACTGCTCAATCTGAAAATGTATCAATAACACCAGGTTCCTCTCCAGCTGATCACTGCTCAATCTGAAAATGTATCAATAACACCAGGTTCCTATCCAGCTGATCACTGCTATCAGGTGCAATACGAATCATGTTCCTATTTACGCCCCCACCTCAATGGCTTAGCGATAAGCTAAATTTTGGGAGTCGATGTCCACGATTGGCAGAGCTCAGATAGCCCATGGTGTATTTTAGGCTTAACACCAAACAAAACTATTATTCGTTCCCGATTCATCAAACAGATAAACTTAATGTCTATTAGTAAAATTTTAATACATCTTAGTGTCAGCATAGTTTATAGAAAATGTCACATTTATCCCAGAAAATTACTTGTGTTAATAATCGCATTTAACCATGATTTAACATATTTCGATGGTCTTTATTTTCCCGTAAAACTCAAATTTGACAAAAAGATTGAATACTGAACGATCTTATAACACAATCTAACTCAAATAGTAAAATTAGTGGAGAATTAACAAACACCAACTAATGGGCCATGTTTGGTTTAACGAAATTTATCAAGAAACTTACTTCTGTTTCTGTCTTCCCCGACGACACGGAAGTACAGACTACGACGGTTGTCTGCCGCCAGGTGCTCTTTGATTCTTCCACTTCTTACGTCATCACTTGACACAGACTGCATCACCATGTGTAATCGTAGCAACTAATAACAAGAATAACAAATTTGAGTCAAAGCAGTCTAAAACTTAGCAACAAATAACAAGAATAACAGATCTGAGTCAAATCGGTCTGAAACTTAACAGCTAGTAACAAGAATAGCAGATCTGAGTCAAAGCAGTCTGAAACTTAGCAACAAATAACAATAATAGTAGATCTGAGTCAAATCGGTCTGAAACTTAACAGCTTGTAACAAGGATGAAAAATATGAATCAAATCGGTCTGACCCTTTGCAACTATAAACAAAGATAACAGATCTGAGTGAAAACAGCCTGAACTTTAACAACTAGTAACAAGGATAACAAATCTGAGTCAAAGCAGTCTGAAACTTAGATACTAATAACTAGATAACAAATCTGACTCAAAGCAGTCTGAAACTTAGTGACTAATAACAAGGGTAACAAATCTGAGTCAAAGCGGTCTTAAGCTTAGCAATTAATAACAAGGATAAAAAAAACTGAGTCAAAGCAGTCTGAAACTTAACAGCTAGTAACAAGGATAAGTAAAAGAGGTCTGAATCAATCACTCTAGGTTTTAATACAAAGAACCACTCAATAAACACTTGAAAACTTGTTATTCTGACATTGAATATGGTGAATTACTTAACCGTTAAATTGACGACTTCTTTTTATACCGTTCAATATTAGTGGAAACCACATATTAAATAATTTTATGTTTTCGCCTGTTAAAACTCTGAATTCAAAGAACTGACCAAAAAGCAATTATGCGAAATCCGACAGTTTCTATGTTAAATACGTGGGAAACTCAGCATTAATTAATGTAATTAATGCAATATTGACGGAATTTCCGTTGAAATTAGTTTGTGTGGCACAGATGTTATTAGGGATCTTCCAACCAATAATTTGTTGTATACAGAGTTCCGAAAAATTGTTTAAAATATGTTTATTGGTTGGCCTTAAATTATACAAACGAATGGAAAACTGACACAGCTGCAGAGAATCAAGAAACACGTAAGAATTTGCCTAACAATCATTTTTAAAAAGAAACAAATAAATAAAACAAACAAACAACAGCGTAAATACAAATTAGCAAACATTGCAGTTACAAAGAATTAATTAAAATTTCAATTATTTTGCACATATTTTCACTATCTTAAATATTTACTTTTGGATCTTTATTGTTAACTACATTTTGATATCTATTCCGAAAAAGATTGTTTGTTTGTTTTTGAATTTCGCGCAAAGCTACACGAGGGCTATCTGCGCTTGCCGTCCCTAATTTAGTAGTGTAAGACTAGAGAGAAGGCAGCTAGTCATCACCACCCACCGCCAACTCTTGGGCTACTCTTTTACCAACGAATAATGGGATTGACCGTCACATTATAACGCCCTTACGCCTGAAAGGGCGAGCATGTTTGGTGGGACGGGGATTCGAACCCGCGACCCTCAGATTGCGAGTCGAGTGCCTTAACCACCTGGCCATGCCGGGCCGCCGAAAAGAACAATCTGAAAAAAAAAAAGACTCAACATGTAGATGTCACTGAGGAAGGTCTCGAGTATAAAGACTATATATTAGTTTATCGGTTAGTTAACGCAAATATTATTAGATTTATAAAAGAAAAATAATTAAAATAAATAATAAATTAAAATGCTGACATTTGTGATTGCAGTGATATTTCCTTTCAGGGACTCAACTTTCTCCAATCGTTGAATAGCTTTATTTGTTGGCACAAAAACTGTCTTTTCCTGAGCATTGAACAGCTCGTGGCGAAACTCTGGAGTACTGTTGACCAATTCTAGGAATTCACTGAAAACAAACAAGTTGTATTATTAATACCAACCAAACCAAAGAGTGCAATTCCCGCGAATTTCTTAAAAGTAAAAGATAAGTTGATTCAGTATAACTTATATAATTAAGTTTTTGTTGAAATTCATCGACTTTCTCTATCTTGTATCCAGTAGTTCAGTACTGGTGAGAATGTTCTAAACTAACAGAGATACATAAAAGTTACTGAACTTCGTAACTGACGAACTAGTAACAGTGAATTGACCAAAAAGGACTTATAAGCATAATGAAAATTTTTATGTAGAGAACATTCTGTGTGTTTCAACAGAACATTGGTCTGCCTTCTTCAGATATGTCATACAACTACTGTGAGCGTACAAGGTTTATATACCACAGTAATGTAAAAACAAAAGAACTCAAAGGTTTATTATATAGGGGAATGTTGTGACACGACAACAGTGAAATGTATACAAGGCACCGAGAGAAACTGAAACAAGTCATTTTCAGTTTCATTTCAGTGTTCTGTAACATGTGGACACTGTGATTAAAATAAAGTTGGTGTGATAGGAGTTACAGTATAAAGGACACTCGCTCGAACTTCTCCAAGTAAGAAATCCGATTTTACCAAAACCATCTGGAACTGGACTAACAAGTTATCCCATGAAGACTGGAACAAACTTGCCTATAGCAACTGACTTGGATAAATTAACAGGGCAAAACAGAAAAGGACCAACCTCAGTAAGAAACTCAAGAAGTTGAGAGAAAACCAGACAGAAGAGGTGAAAATTTTCCAATCTGTCGTTCTTCCTCCATAATTTCGAGTGATAATGAAATTTCTTTCTCAAATCTAGGATCAAACTTTGATGTGAAACCCAGAATTTTAGCTGTTAAACAAAACGTACCTACCACAGATCTTACATTAACGTTTCAGAGTTAAATTTTAATGAAACTGAGAAAATAAGAAATAACATACAATCAAGACTTTCAACTTATAAAGGTAGAAGACTAAAAACCCAACCTAAACAATAATGAAGTCAATGCTTTAAAAGAAGTATGATCTAACAATAAGATCAACAATGAAATCAATGCTTTATTGTTGATCTTATTGTTAGATCATACTTCTTTTGAAGTCAATGCTTTAAAAGAAGTATGATCTAACAATAAGATCAACAATGAAGTCAATGCTTTAAAAGAAGTATGATCTAACAATAAGATCAACAATGAAGTCAATGCTTTAAAAGAATTATGATCTAACAATAAGATCAACAATGAAGTCAATGCTTTAAAAGAATTATGATCTAACAATAAGATCAACCATGAAGTCAATGCTTTAAAAGAATTATGATTTAACAATAAGATCAACAATGAAGTCAATGCTTTAAAAGAATTATGATCTAACAATAAGATCGACAATGAAGTCAATGCTTTAAAAGAATTATGATCTAACAATAAGATTTATAAAACGAGAGCAGACAATGGTGGTTGTATTTTAATTGTCGATAAAACACCTTACAAGTAGGGGGTCAACACCCTACTAAATGACTGATCTCATACCGTATTCAAAGGTGATCCTATTAACAAAGTTTTCTAACTACTAACCAAAAAAAATATATATTATCCCCCCTTTTATCACCCCCCGTTTTTATGTCCTTCCAACTTCCAAAGATTCAAATGTGTGGCAATGCCTAGCGACCCCCCTCTGCTGGAGACTAACTCCTTTTATCTCTAGACTTTGTGAATATAATCAAAACATTTGACTTAGATCACTAAGATACTCTAATATATTTGGATATTAAAAATCTCTCTTTACTTCAAAACCTACAGAAAAAGCTTCACTGTGATTAAAAACTAAACTAGAACAAGACATTTTCCACACTAATTATGCAGACCACCTAACTATTGAAATAGTACTTATTTTAGCAACTTTAGATAAGTTTTATAAACAAAATAGTGGTCTAGCAAAGGGTCTTTTTTCTATGCAGTCAGCTAACTTTACAGTTTTATGTATTTGTGTGGTTATTATCTGAAACATTTGTATTGTTTGTATGACTTACCATTCTGTAGCACACAGAAAACAACATAATTTGCATTTTTTTTATGTACACCACAATGGTGTAGGAAGGAATTGCAAAGTGGGGGTGTTTGGTTAGACATGCAGATAATATCTAACCTATATAAAAGTCAGTGTGTGTCACGTCACGTCGCACTTGATTTCTCGAAATAGGATGAGTCATAAAAACCAAAATGCATTTATCCACATAGAATAGTTCGATTACTGTCTGCCCATTACGATATTAGTGACGGGAGTGAAAGGGGGCCTTGAGGGAGATGCCGTGAAACCTTATAAGTGTAGTGTAATTGGTAAAATAAGCCTAAAGTAAAGACGTAGTGTGAAATCACCTAGAGTAGAGCCAAGTGCATAAAATGTATCATGAAAGTAAAAATATCGATTCAATTCTAAACTTAAATCGTTTCTGAATTAAGTTATTATCTGTTATATTACCAACGTTTTTAGTAAAAAAACAAACCTCTTTAATCAATGGAGACTCTAAATTAAGAAATCAACAAATATTTTTACAGTTTTA